TATTACTTGATATGGCTAATACGTCCAACGAATATTTAATTTCTTGATAGAGTGTGATGTGTTATGAAATCAGTATTAATGAAATATGAATGAAAGAAAAAACGACATTTTTGCAATGATTTCTAAACTCTGAATTTACAAATATTAATGTAATTGCAAGAAATTTGCAGAAATTATGTACGATAATGACATTCTTATTTATTACTCTGCCATTATAGACGCTTATAAGTAAGTAACTTTTAAAATAATAATTATTTCAAAATTTAATTTTACGCCCATACGAATATTATTTTAACTAATTAATAATCTTTAAAAAAAAAAAAAAAAAAAAAAAATTTAAACCACTATTGTCTTTTGAATGGGATAAAGTAACAGAGTAAAAATAGAATAAAATTCAAGCAGAATTTGTAAGTTCTTATTTCATTTTGGAAAAATTACAGATCGTGGGTAAACTAAATAATAATTGTACTATAAATGTTAACGATACGTTATTGCGATACGTATGTGTGTGTGTGTGTGTGTGTGTGTGTGCGCGCGCGCGCGCGTGTCTGTGTATCATAAGATAAAAATAAATATTTTGAAATTATCAAATTTCAATAATTTTAATAAATATAATAAGCCTTATCCTATTTTCGGAATAGAATTGTTTTCTCGGCTATGTAAGAGACCAATTAGCTTCAATTTTTAAAAATCCTTGAATTTATGTAAAATCTATATATCTGCTGGTTCTTCGCTTAGGAGCGATCTAGGGCATTCCAAATTTTCCAATAAACGGTTCGATAAGTTTTCAGCTGACGGTTAAAATATTATAAATGAAAGTTACAACTTTTTCTTTTCCAAATCTTGAATCACGATTGATGTTTGTGTATGTGAACGTAGGTTGGTGATTAAGTCGAATATAATGCAACATCGGCTCGAGCACTCAACTCGTTTAAAAACGTTTTCATCTCATTCACTTGGCGTTCATTTAAGATTGAAAACGATATCACTCGGCATTTAAATTTGTAAATACCAACTTGAGACAACTAACCTACATAAGAGCCTATAGCATTAATAGGTCAAATATCCAATATCCAGAGAAATCCACATGCGCTCACAATTCGATGACGGGCTTTTTGTTATTGTTACCGACTCCACGAAACTTTCACGAAAAGAGGGGACAATTTCCTCCGTTAAAGGCGAGAATACGTTCGACGACCCGAACATTGTTCATCGTTGCCCAATAGCCGCCACGCGAGAATCTCTTACTTATCGGCACAAGCAGCCCAATTAACATATTCTCCGGGGTGCACTTTCACCTGTCAAGACTTCAATGCATGCATTTATTTTTTCTTTTTTCTTTTTAATCAACGAGGAATTTATTTGTATTTACGGTTAATGCTGCGACTAAGTAGCGGTGGACGCGACGAGATTTTGGATCCACGACTTTGGATTTTACATTTCCAAAATACTTGTAAAAATCATCTATCCATCAGAGTATATGTTTTTATCTGAGGCTTTCGTAATCTAAAAGCATAAGAAGTGCAAAATAACGCGTGTTGAACAACTCTAATCTGACAATCTCTTGGTAATGTTGCTCTTAGATCTATTTAAACATCTCGCATGTTAACAACTGACATATTTGTGTTTCACTGGTACGAAGAAGATGTGCAATATAAATAAATCTTTGGTATATTATCGGCTGGCAGTGGTACATTTTTCTAGCCGAAATTTCTTATTTAGTCAAAGTAAAAGTTTCAATTATTAGTGACTTTATAGTGCCATTGTACATCAACGTTTCATTTAATATGTCATGAATTATTCGATTATCGAAACTATTAGAACGACCGGCTATTTCTTCTATTATTTTATGTTGAAGTCAATTGGTTGACTTCATTGACAGCAAAAATCAAAGTTGAAGTCAAAATGTAACGAAAGCAATTATAAGTTTTTTTTTTTTTATTTATTTAATTAAACCAATACCATACTTTTATTTTCTTAATATTTGATTTTACGTTTCCTTTATCAACGCGTCTTTCTCTAATTCATTTCTTTAGATCATTTTATTGAAATTAAGTATGTTTCTAGAAAAAAGAGTATTAATTTGCATTACTTAATTGATTCATTGTGAAAATATTATTAACGATCTACAAGAATATTTTAAAATATACGATTTTCAAAAATAGTAAATTATTTTTAGATTAATTCTAAGAAATTAAGAAGACGAATCCAAGTTATAGTATGAATGTGATAATAGATTTTAAATTTTACAATTTCAATTTGTTTCGTGCTTCTGAATTATAATTGTAAAATATCATCTAATAAAAATTATAAATTCATCAATTTATATTCGCTAGTATTAAAAATATTTGTTTTAATGTTATTTCATAATAATAATTATACTTATATTTGAAATTCTCAAAATAAAACTTATAAAACAAAGAATTAAAATTAATAATGTTTTTTAATTTGTAATTTTGTAAATATTATCTTTTATTTTCTATCCTTACATGCTTATAAGTAAATATATTATTAATAACATTTTTTTCTCTCGAATGCATATTAAAACTGTCCAATTTAAAAAAATCAATAAAACATTCAATTATTTGTTTTTAGTGGGTATAAATTGCAAAAGTGTTCATAAACATAAATTTGAATATTACAACTTGTTTTAGAAACTTTGCAACATAAACTAATTAAACTTTCAGGACATATGTATAGTAAATAAATAACTGGCTCGCATTTTCATCAGAATCTAATAATTTACTTATTGTTTTAATAACTATACCACCTTATTCTAGTGTTTCAAATAAATTAAATAATTTATTGCTTACTAATAACTACATACCTTCAAACAGTTTATGACAGTAGATTTTATACTGATAAAAGTTTAATTTTCTATATATTCAACTTGTATCAATGCAAGAGAAATATATATGAATAATTTCTTCATAATTTATCGCCATTCTTGTAATTAAAATGAAATATAAAATATCTATTTAGCAATGTTTTATATTATACTGTTTTTTAAGTGAACCTAATGATACTTAATAATTTCCACATTAACCAAGCTCTTCATTTTTTATTCTATCAATTCACACATCAAAAATAAATATTATTAATTGAAAATCTGCATAACATATGCATTATTTATTAGCTTTACCATTGGTTATCTATTTTTGGTTTCTTTTAATTGTTCAGAATGTTTCAAGTTTCATATAAATTCTTTAATTATGAAAACTGTCCCATAAATTTTCTGCCTCATCATCATTATTTTTCCACAGATCCATTCTATTTAATTACCTCGAATTAATATTCATTACTGATGTTAAAACGTTAACTTTACAATTGCGCCTCACAATAAATTAAACCATTGTTTTTTATTTTATATATATTTAATGCGAGCTTTTAAGAATTTTAGTTTATCATTAATTATCTTGTAATTATTATACATACATTTATTGCCCAAAATAAATAGGTACATAATCAAATTATAAAATATATAGATGATATTAAGTAGCAGTGGTCTATTTTTGTTTTATTTACTAAAGGCAGTTTTGCGTGAGCTATCTTACTATGCGGTGCTTGCATCGTCGTTATAATGTTGCTTTTATGAAATAATGTTGATTTTAATATAAACATATGCACGTGCCATGCGTTGAAATATTTAAATAAAGTATTACACATTGTTTAAAAAAAATTTATCACAATTAAACGAATATAAAAGAATTATCGGATAAGTTTTATCAGTACACATCCTTCGTACGTCTTTTATTAATGTAAAGTGTGATATCACGTAAAAGTACACGCGTGCCTCTATTAGACCATACAAGAACTGTTTCACATCCGTCTAGATTCTTTATCTATATAATCCATTGTAACAGTATCCGCAAATCATTCAATTTTCCTCACGCATGAACAAAATAGGCTTAAAAATTGTCTTTGTCACATATTGCTTGATAAGACATCAGCCACGATTCGATCTGTATGTCAATTGTCGGGATAAGACCGCGGATGTGAGTAAAAGAGATTTTAAAAAAGCCAGCAGGCGAATTGTTGCGCAATGACGTTTGTCAGAAAAGAGGATCGGCTATATTGCGCGCTCGCGCGTGTCAGTCAGTGAGTGAGTGAGTGTGTGCGCGCGCGCGCTCGCGCGCCCGTAATTACGATTGTCAACGGAGGTAAAAATCGCGTGTACACGGTGAAGGTCCCAACACACGAGTGATCGATATATGTGCCGTCGCTCGTGCCACGGTGCGTGTTTTTATGTTCGGCGTGCCTGCATTTAACATTGATCTGCCACGTGTTTATCGTGTGCACTTAAGGCCTTGTCCGAGCACAAGGGTGGACATAACAAGCCATCGTCGTCACATATACGAGCCAGTGAAACCTTCTCGCTGGATAGCCAATACGAGATGGACGATGCCCATCGTCACCATCGGGGAAATCACGTATTAACCTCATTATATATATATATATATATATATATATATATATGTATATATACATCAGTTATGGTCGCTTGCTTTATATTTGCTCGAGGCACTCTTTTGCATAATCAATATTGGCTGAATGTCGATATTTAAAAACGAAAGTAATTGCCGATGGTTAGCTCACAGGAGATCCAATACTTTAATTAGCTGATAATATATTTAATTCTTAAAACTTAATCAATTAATCGTTCTGAAGTATCCTGTGCTAATAAGGTAATATTACCACAATTTACTACACACTAATAAGCCTTTAAATTTCTAACTAATAATTGTTATTACTACTATAAAGATTTTTGTTGAGTGTATTGTCTAAAGGATTTAAAAATTATATTTAATTATTTTATGAGCTTCGGTATTAAAGGCTTATGTGCGCTAGGCATAGTCGGTATGAAATTCACGACTCAACACTTTGTCGATAAAATATTTCATAAAATAATCTCAAATATGAAATATTCAAATCAAATGGCTGACTATAATGTAATGGATAAAATGCTTTGATATATTTGATAAAAATAAAAATTTACTTACTGCCGCGGGGTCCGTAGAATTTGACAGAAAATTCATTGAGTCCGCCAAGTATCGTCACCTCGTGTTTGCTTTCTATTCTGTTTTTTTTTTTTTTTTTTTTTTTTTTTTTTTTTTTTATCAAAGTAAATTTATTAAGGAAAATGTGCTATAATAATAATATTTATAAAAATCAATTCATTATCTCCAAAGAATATATGTTTGATTTTTAAGAAATTATCCCATGTCTTAAAAATAAAGAGTTTCATAAAATTTTTTCACGCTCTAACGAAACCATCAAACATTCATTCTTAGTTTCTTGTCTGCAATTTTTCTTCACATTAAAAATTTGGTCATACTGATATGTTAAAATAAAAAAATAAAATAAGGTTAAAAACTAGAATACTAATAGGTATTATTCTATTTATTTCTATTTGCAAAAAAACCATAAATACAATTACATAAATATTATTATAAATTGATCATCATCTTGCATTATACGTAGTGAACATTTTTATGTAAAAAAATTATTATTCTATCCATTTGCAATTCGATGAAAACCCTCTAGTTTTATTTTAACATACAAATGTTCATGTAGTCCGACAAACAATAAAGTCAGACATAAAAACCCATGAGCGCTAAAATCCATTTATACAATTTAAAATGAGAATTACGTCATAAAGTATGGAATATAATCAAACAATAGTATAACGAGCCAATAATAGTTAAATTATATATTCTATATTCATTACATAATTCGTAATTGAAAATGTAAAATTTTAACTCTTGATTATTTTATTAATATTTTGTGAGATAATTTTATAATAAAGTATCTTTGTATCCATACTTATCAACACTAATTGTTAAACTGTAAGTGAACTTTAGCAATACTTACTATTATCTATGTATACTTAAGTTGGATTTTATCTAAAATTAATAATAAAAAAAAAAAACATTATGTATAAGTGAAGAATCTGTAAATAAATCCAATGCTAAACATTATATAATTATAAAAAATATCTTTGTTAAATACAATATGTAATTGAATAATGTATTATTATAAAATAATAATTCAGAATAGAATACAAATTTAAATTTATGATTTTGATCGGTTGATGATAATAAAATCAAAATTGATTAATTAGCGTGTGAAATATTTAAAAGTATTTTTTTACATATCTTAAAGTGTATATTCACTATGCATTGGAATATTTAATAATTATACAAAAAAATAATTACCTTTGATTTAGTAATTACATAATATTCATTTAGATTTTTACTAATTAGAAAAATAATACCCTAATGAAACGACTTTAAGATTGAGAATTTTAAAACCATTTGTTTGTCTCGAATAATGTAGTCTGAAAATCATGCCTGCATGGGGAAAATGTATCTAGGCATTCTAATCTCGCGCATACCCCTTTCTCTTCACGTACACACACATACGTACACACAAGCGCGCGCGCACGCACGCACAGAAGCGAACGCCGAAGCGTAAGATATTTTTCTGTTTTATTTTTTCGAGCGCAATGAGAATAGTCGGTATGAAATTGCGTGATGCCTAAGGGAAATAGTTACGAACACACGTACAACGACAGTATGTGGATATATGTACTACTTTCATAAATCGTGAGCGGAAAACGGGTCCTATGATTTTCCGTTATATTCCGCACTTGTACTCGTGATGGCGTAGTGGCGATGCGCGTTCCTGAATTAACACGAACCCACCTCTCTCTCTCTCTCTCTCTCTCTCTCTCTCTCTCTCTTTCTTTCTCGCACACACTTTTGCGCAGGCGCTTATCCTATTATAAATTCACTAAAGATAAATTTCACTATTTCATAGCGGCTATGTTACAATACAGAAAGTCATTGAGTGTAATATTCATTGTAAATTTGTTTTAATTTTCATTTATCAATATTAAAACTAACGTCAAAATACTCTTTCCAAATATATTTCTACGCGATTAAATAATTATTAATATCTTTCTTTATAATTGCATAATATAATAATGTAAGTTTGTTTATAGAAATCGTTCGATATAGTGCACATAATGGTGCAATCTCGAATACATAGTAGTTTTTCCAATAACTACTATGATAAATTTGTCCGATTAATTTTTTTTTTTTTTAACTTGCGTTGGTTAATCTATAAGGAAGATAAATGTACATTGAGGAATACAAAAATACATAAAAGGAAATTTTAATTTTATAAAAAGATTTTACTTTCAAATTTTAATCGACACATCTAGCAATATAATGAGAATTAAATGATTAATTCTATTAAAGATATATGTTAACTTTCTATTGCCAGGTAAGAATACAGCAAAGTTACATTATTATTGATGTGCATAGATATTCTTATTATGATTATTTTTTAAATAAGAATTCATTTTAAACTAATATCAATCTAATTTATTTATCCAATTATTAATATTCAACTTATTTTATTTGATATTTTTTCGCTTGCAGATTTTAAAAATGATCAAACGATCATATTATTATAATACGCTTTAAACCGAAACTTATATAAATATAAATTGCAAAAAATACTTACAAAATTTAATGATCTACGATTATTGTAAAGAATTTATCGTGTCTAATGATAAGTTGTATGCGGAATAAATAATAATAATAAAATATAATTTAAATCAATTATAAAGATCTTTATATTTTTTATATAAAACTTTTTATATTATTTATAATTTATATTTATATTTAAATTTATATTATTTAGATATTTTCAGGACAATTTACACACACACGCGCGCGCGCACGCACACACACAAACAAACAAACAAACAAACACACACCAATATTTATAGATTTATGGTATCTAATATTAAATTTTTATATTTATGTATGTAAAAATAAAAATTAAAAATAAATATTATTGAAATATAGGATTCTTATAAAAGATTTATGAACACAGTTTCAAATAAATTAAAAAATTTCGAAACAGCACAATTGATATACAATAAATATACATCCACAAATTATTTTGTTTTGAAAATATAAGGCATATATTAATAATACGAAGTGTAAAGTACTTATAAATATTAAATATTATTTTTCAACAATCATTATTAAACATATTGTTGCAAAATATTTAGAAAAAAATCAAATGGCGAAGAAAATATAAAATAGCATATTAACAATTAAATAATCTATCTTTAAAAGTATAGAAATTTCTTGAAAATGTGTTGCATATACATTCATTATATAACTCATAACATTATTCTCTATATTTCCTACTTTTTTCCTTACAAAATTAATTGCAAAATAATTAAAAAATATAATAGCGTAGAAAGGCTTTTTAATCGCAAAAAATTTATTAATAGCTATTTCGAATCTATGAAACAAGTTATTTTGATCTTGAATATTCATTATATTTTTAACAGAGAATTTTTTATGTTTGGAGAAATTGAAGAAAGGAAGAAATACATAACCTAATTATAAATTTGACTCCAGCCTACAATAATTAATATACATAGCTATTTCCGTAATACTTCCCGTACTCTCCAATTTTAATGAAACTCCAGAGTGATTTTTAGTCAGGCACTTTCTCCCTATATATTTTTGTTCATTTATAAAAAATGCCATTTTTTAATTGTTTTACATGTAATAGAAATTCAAACAATAATAAATTAAAAATGATTGAAAATGTAATTATTTAGATATATTTTATATCAATAATAACCATAATTTTTAAGTAAAATATTAATATTAATAACGATTATTTATAATAAAAAATATGTTATTATCAGAATACACTAAAGTGTAATAAAAATATACGAAAAGATGTGTTTTTAAGTAGTAGTAGCTAAAATTAATCGGCCAATTATATTCGCCATCGCCTTGAATTTATCAAATATGAAAATCATTGAATTTGTTGCTTAGTTAGTTTTATGAAATATTAGATGTATTATTAATAATATTACTTATGCTGATGGAATTTATACAAATTTTATTTTCATTCAATGAAAGGATAGTAAAATGTACCACTTATAATTTAAAAAATTAATTTTTATTATACTTTCATTTTTGCTTTGACGTTTATGTTGCATAAGTATCAGAATCAATGATTAATTAATTTCCATCGATAATAGAATTTGTTAAAAATTTATATTATATAATTATATAACATTGTTGTATTTATTTGCATTTATTTATTTATTTTTTTTGTTAACAAACTTTTGTCATTAAATAATGATTTGCGAATATTACTATTTTTATAAATTTAAATTAATATAAATATAACAAGATTTTATTCATATTATTATCATTGATTTCAAAATTTTAAATTAAAATATGTATCAACAAGAATGATCAGATTATTTAAGGTTGGTCTAATATTACATTCTGGTGTAAGAAAAATACCGTTACTTTAATTGAAAAGATAAAACAATTGAAATAATTAATTTTATTGAAAATAATGATTAGCCAGAGAAAGAATACGCTTTCAATTCGTATAAAAGTAATTAATTCGATAAGAATTCAGTCTAACTATAGATTTCCAAAGCAAAGCTAAAATTAATAAATGTACAATTAAGTAATTGCGTTTATCGAGTAATTATATCAATATTAAAATTTCAAAACGCACACAACTAAGTTGATTAGAATAACTAAGATCCTTTGCCGTATCGAATGAAATTACACTGGATTACAAATTATAGTTCGACGAACACGGGAAATTTATACGAATTCAAAGTGCGCAATTTAAGATACGTTTTAAAATAAAAAAAAAAAAATAATAACTCTTAACTCTACGCATACGGTATATGCGTATGTGGAATAACGCGTTGGTGTGAAAATTCTTTAAGAACCATTGCTTTAATTAGCTATCCAGCTGCTTAAATTACCTATGCAACTTTTGCTTATCTGAATAAGCTAAATGCACTTGTGCGCGTGCTCGTATATGTAAAATATCACGTGTAATTGTCATTCTCCGAGCGGCTAAGCGACTTCAGAATCTTAACTATGTATGATTAATCGAAGGGGAAAAAGTTTTAAGAGCTCTGTTTGTCCAATTAAATAAAGAACGATTAAACGATGGACGCTCGCGACGAGGTATCTCTCCATTCTATCAACATCCAGTGACATT